TCTATAGTCTTCATTTGAGCATCTCTATAACAAATTTTGATATCTGGTAGGGCAGAGCTATCTCATTCTTTGGAATTTTCTTGGGTCTTCCAGGAAAGAGCTTAAGTTCCATGGGGAAAAAATCTAATTTAATTGGAATTGCATTGGATCTATGCATAAATGTGAGGGTAATGGATACTTCTAAAGTATTTTTATGATAAAAGTATAGATGTGCATTATAAAAAGAAAATATTGATAAGCAAAAAGAAAAACATAAAACAGTCCAACAACCCAGAGACTACCACTATTAATATTGCAGCATAATATATTCTTCTGTATTTGTGTGTGTGTGTGTGTGTTGCTGGGGATAGAACCCAGAGACTTGTTCATGCTAAGTGTGCACTCTATCTTTGAGCTATACCTCTGGCCCCTAGTGTTTTAATCTTATGGTAATTGACAATCTATAACATTAAGTCTCTGTACTAAAGAGGTACACTCTCTGTTTATTTCAGTCTTTAATATCTTTCAATAATTTTGTATAAAATTCTCCCTAAAAGATATGCACAAACTTGTTAGATTTATTCCAAGGGACTTTATATACTTTTTCTACTTTGAATTATACCTTTTAAAAATTGATTTGGGACTGGGGATGTAGCTCAGTAGTAGAGCACTTACCTAGCATGCACAAGGCCCTGGGCTTAATTTTTAGCACTATAAAATGAAATGAAATTAAATATAAAGTAAAATAAAATAAAAATAGCTTCTAAAAAAAACAGTGCTCTTTTGTTTATTACTATATGCCCAATATAGGCCTTGTGGCTAACATGCAGTATGTGCTCAGGAAGTACTTATTAATTCAATGAATGAATAAAAAGACCTAGTAAACTGTTGAGTGATCTAATGAAATATACATAGGGGACTTACTTGTTATTTTCTGCTAGCTTACCACATTAAGGACTTCAGTTTCAGAAGACTTCTATTTAATACTAGTTCTCCAGGAATAATGACTTATTAAATCATTATCTTTTAGATCATCTTAATAGAGGAATAGTTTAATAGCATCTATCCTGTTGTCGGATCTGAGAGTATGGTAATTTTAATGTTGGGGAAGGCAAAACATGCTCTATGACAGCATGAAGACACTAGTTACCTGTAAAGTGTGATAGGGTTTTAATATTTATGTCTTCTCCAAAATTCATGTAGAAACTGTATTAAGAGGTGTGGCCTTGGACTGGGGTTGTAACTCAGTGGTAGAGCGCTTGTCGTGCACATGTGAGGCACTGACTTCAATCCCCAGCACCACGTAAAAATAAATAAAGTAAGGTATTTATCTATCTACAACTTAAAAAAAAAGAGGTGTGGCCTTTAGGAGATAATGAGGTCACATGGGCTCTGCACTCATGAATGGGATCAGGTGCCCTCATAAACAGGTCTGATGAAAGCCAGTGGCACATACCTATAATCCCAGCAACTTGGGAAGCTGAGGCTGGAGGATGGCAAGTTGAATGCCAGCCTGGGCTACATAGACTCTGTCTCAAAATAAAAAATAAAAAGGGCTGGGGATATAGCTCAGTGGTAGAGCATCCCTGAGTTCAATCTCCAATACCAAAACAAAACAAAAAACAGGGCAGGGGGTAGATTTTGATGGAGCAAGTTTGCCTTTTTGGCCCCTTCCATCTCTTCTACCATGTGAGGAAATAAGAGTTCCTTCTCTCTAGAGAATACAGCAAAAAAGTGCCATCTTGGAAGCAAAGAACAGCCTTGAACAGATCCCAATCCTGCGAGAACCTTGATCTTAGTTTTCCCAGCCTCCATAACTATGAAATATTTCTGTATATTTTTTTTCTTCATAAATTACCCAGTCTGTCCAGGTGCAGAAACATATGCCTGTAATCTCAGAGGTTCAGGTGGCTAAGACAGGAGAATTACAAGTTCAAGATGAGCCTGAGCAATTTAGTGAGGCCCTAAGCAATTTAGTGTCTCAAAATAAAAAATTAAAAGGTCTAGGGATGGGGCTGGGGTTGTGGCTCAGTGTAGAGTGCTCACCTGCCACAGTCTGGCTGGGCACAAATCACAAGCCACTCAAGAGGAATAAACTTTATTTCTGAACTTCACCAGCACACTCCACACATGCTCCCCGGGAACTCTCCCAAACGCCACCCACACAGTTCCTCCAGGAACTACCAACCGGAAATCCCTCCTCCGGCACTTCCCCAACCAATGCAAACTCTCCAGTAATCCCCATGAGAACTCCAAAGTAGCGCGAGAACTCCAAAGTAGCGGGGGCGAGGCAGACAGTAAAGGTCTAATATACAATTGAATCAATTCAGCATCATCTTAATGGCTCACCTCTCAACCAATACTATTGGCAAAATGCCAGGGGCCATTCCAACTCGGCTGTGGCCCTCAACATCTCCCCCCTTCTGTTTAATTAAACAACAAGCAATGTGGCTTAGGGACCGTGCCTGTTAGGTTGTCCAATACTACATATGGTTCTTACCCGTCATTGGATAAGCTGACCTCAAGGCATCAGCATCCTGTCTTAGATTGGTACCACTGCAATTGGATCTTACCCGTCACTGACTACCGGTCCAGCATACAGCCATACTTGTGGATAGGCCTTTGCACCAGTGGGGGGGTGAGGTTCTTTGCCTCACCTCTGTTGGCCCCCAAATTTGGCCTTGGTGCCAGTGGCGGGGGGTGAGGTTCTTTGCCTCACCTCTGTTGGCCCCCAAATTTTAGACCATCACTAGCAGAAGGGAGGAGGATTCAGAAATGCCATGACACCAAGCCAATTGATGGCTCCTTTGGAAAAATTGTACCACCAGTGACACCATCAGCAAAGATACTCCAGCACTACCACAATTCGCTGCACCAACAGATAGTTCACAATGCATACAAGTAATACATAGTCCAGGCAAGTTCTGTAAGCAGTTCAAAGCAGAGGAATCCATCAATATGTCCATTTCCTACCAAAGTAAATCGACTACTTGATTGAGCATCACTTGTTGAGTTATTATTCATTGATTCATCAGTTTATACAGTTTACTGTGATAACTATCAAAGAAGCTGTAGTTTGTTTTTATCTTTGTCTTCACCGGCACTGGGATGAAGATAGGAATTCTGGCAATGATGGCTAAAAAAAAAATTATGTAACATTCCAACAGGTACTAAGAAAACAATTTTCTGAACAATTTACATTATCCTGAACAGAATTATTAAATATTGCCACAGTCTGTCTGGGCACAAATCATGAGCCACTGAAGCAGGAACAAACTTTATTTCTGAACTCCACCAGCACACTCCACACACGCTCCCCGGGAACTCTCCCAAACACCATGCGGCTCCTCCAGGAACCACCAACCAGAAATCCCTCCTCTGGAAATCCCTCCTCCAGCACTTCCCCAACCAATGGGAACTCTCCGGGAATCCCCACGAAAACTCCAAAGTAGCGCCAGAACTCCAAAGTAGCAGGCCAAGGTGGACAGTAAAGGTCTAATATACAACCGAATCAATCCAGCATCATCTTAATGGCTTGCCTCTCAACCAATACTATTGGCAAAATGCCAGAGGCCATTCCAACGTGGCTGTGGCCCTCAGCATCTCCCCCCTTCTGTTTAATTAAACAACAAGCAATGTGGCTTAGGGACCATGCCTGTTAGGTTGTCCAATACACATATGGTCCTTACCCGTCATCAGATGAGCTGACCTCAAGGCGTCAGCCTCCTGTCTTAGGTTGGTACCATTGCAATTGGATCTTACCCGTCACTGACTACTGGTCCAGCATACAGCCATACTTGTGGATAGGCCTATGCACCAGTGGGGGGGGAGGGGTGAGGTTCTTTGCCTCACCTCTGTTGGCCCCCAAATTTTAGACCATCACTAGCAGAAGGGAGGAGGATTCAGAAATGCCACGACACCAAGCCAATTGATGGCTCCTTTGGAAAAATTGTACCACCAGTGACACCATCAGCAAAGATACTCCAGCACTACCACAATTCGCTGCACCAACAGATAGTTCACAATGTATACAAGTGATACATAGTCCAGGCAAGTTCTGCAAGCAGTTCAAAGCAGAGGAATCTATCAGTATGTCCATTTCCTCCCCAAGTAAATTGACTCCTTGAATGAGCATCACTTGTTGAGTTATTATTCATTGATGTATCAGTTTATACAGTTTACTGTGATAGCTATCGAAGAAGCTGTAGTTTGTTTTTATCTTTGTCTTCACCGGCACTGGGATGAAGATAGGAATTCTGGCAATGATGCTAAAAAAAATTATGTAACATTCCAACAGGTACTAAGAAAACAATTTTCTGAACAATTTACATTATCCTGAACAGAATTTTAAATATAATGAAAAGGAAAGGTGAAAGTAAACAAACAGATCTGTTAACCTCCTTTGAAAACAATTCTCAACAGCTGTTTACCTAATTTAAATTAAACCATATAAATCATGTGAATAAAAAAAATTTTGGATCCATTTTTCATGAGCGCTCCCCATATATGATATATGACATATGCACATACAGACATACAACACAAAACACAAGTATGCACACATAACATACAACACATAAGACAATAGTAGAGGTCTTGTAGCTTTACACAGGTGAAATCTCCATTGCAATGTTTAAAAACTCCACAGTCAAAAAATAAAACTGATCAGAAAAACATTAGCCTAGGTCTGTATGAGCTCAAAAAATAAAATAGAACTTTATGATGTGGGAAAGGGCAATAATAAAATAGACATTGAAAAAAGACATCCTGGTTACCACCTGAGTTTGACTCTTTTTTGGATATCCCATCCTTTTTCCTGTAACTTGCATAATGGGTCTGAAGGTATTCCCACAAGCAAGCCCCAAGGTTTTTATATTTGAAATAGGCTTTAATGGTGTTCATTATTCATTAGCCTCCAGGTGTGGGAGAACCACTGTTGCAGATGTAAGAATAGCCAAGCTGGAACTCTGGATATCAGCTGTTATGGATTTCAGTCACATCATCTTCTTTTTGGTCTGTAGAAATCGCTTTGGTTAGTCTCTCTGGAATCCAAATCGGCTGCTGTTCTCCCTGTGGAAACACACAAACAGAACTCCGACTCCAGACAATCACTGGGTCAGGACCTTTCCATTGTCCTATTAGAATATCCATCCAAAGTACCTTAGGCTTATGTACATTTTTTGGATACATATGCCTTTTTGCAGCACTAAGCCCTGATGAATCCAAATTTAAAAAGTTTAGAGTAAAAAGTGTTATTTTAAGTTTGTCTTTGGGGGATATATACCCCTTTCCAATTCCCTCTTTTTGCTTTAATAAGTACATTTTAATAGTTTGATGAGCTCTTTCAACTATGCCTTGTTCCTGTGGATTGTATGGGATTCCTGTTATATAAGTAATGCCAAATAATGAGCAAAATTGTTTAAAAGAGGTAGAAGTATAACCAGGACCATTATCTGTTTTTAACTGTTTTGGAACGCCCACAGTGGCAAAATTTTGTAAGCAATGAGCTATAATATCTTTAGTTTTTTTCTCTGGCATGAAGGGAACCCATTAAAAATCCGGAAGAAGTATCAACTGTAACATGCAAATATTTTAATTTTCCAAATTCTGGCAAGTGTGTGACGTCCATCTGCCAAATATGGTTAGGTATCAGTCCTCTAGGATTGACTCCAAGATTAACTTGTGGTAAAAAGGTCACACAATTTTGACATTGTTTTATTATTTGTCTAGCTTGTTCCTTAGTTATTTTAAAATGCTTTTGTAAAGTATTAGCATTGACATGGAACCTTTTATGAAAAATTATAGCTTCTTCTATTGTAGAGAAAATATGTATGTCATGTGTAGTTTTATCTGCTAAATCATTGCCCAAACTAAGGGCTCCAGGCAATCCTGTATGTGCCCTGATATGTCCTATAAAAAATGGATCTTTTCTGTCCCAGATTAGACTTTGTATAGTGGAAAACAAAGAGAAAACAGTAGAGGAAGGGGAAATCCTACCAGCATCTTCAATAGCATTAACTATATACTGACTATCAGAAAATAAATTAAATACAGAATCTTTAAACATCACAAAAGCTTGTAATACTGCATTAAGCTCTACATTTTGAGCTGATTGTTTGGGTACTAAAAATGTAAAAGTTTGATCAGGTGTAACTACTGCTGCTGTACCATTATTTGACCCATCAGTGAATATATTTGGAGCATTCATGATAGGTGTTTTTCTTGTCATTTTTGGAAAAACTACAGGATGCGATGACCAAAAAGACAACAAAGGATTAGATGGTAAGTGATTATCAAATGAAACATTAGATTTACACATGATTATTGCCCAAGTATTTAACTCATTAGCTAACTCATCAATTTGATCCATAGTATATGGAGTAATAATTTTATTGGGAGAAATTCCAAACACTCCCTTTGCTGCTTTTATTCCTTTGAGTATCAATTGTCCTACAGCCTCAGGATACCTAGTAAGAATAGTATTAGGAGAATAAGATAAATGTATCCATAATAATGAACCTTCTTGCCAAAATACTCCTGTAGGAATATTTTTTGTTGGTAGTACAATAAATAATAAAGGCAAACTTATATCAATTCTATCCAAATGCATATTTTCCATATATGTTTCAATGATTTTTAATGCCTTTCTTGCTTCAGGTGTTAACATTTGGGGTGAATTTGGATCTGATGGACCTTTTAGGATATCAAATAAAGGTCCCAACTCTCCTGTTGGTATGCCTAGATAAGGCCTTATCCAATTTATGTCTCCTAATAACTTTTGAAAGTCGTTAAGTGATTTGAGTTGATCTATTCGTATTTGAATTTTTGGTGGACGGACCATGGTTGAGGATAATAGAACTCCTAAATAATTAATTGGAAAATTTAATTGTACTTTATCTATTGCTATCTCTACATTGTAATTTTTTTAATAAATTTGTAAGTGTGGCATAACATTCTAGCAATGTGCTTTTATCTTTATGTGCTAATAATACATCATCCATATAGTAAAATATTTGTAGTTCAGGATTTTGATTTCTAAGTGGCTGGATTGCTTTGTTAACATAAATTTGACACATAGTTGGGCTGTTAGCCATCCCTTGAGGGAGTACTTTCCATTCATATCTCTGATCAGGACCTTCATGATTCAGTGCAGGGATAGTAAATGCAAAACTTGGACTATCCTCAGGATGAATTTGAATTGAAAAAAAAAACAATCTTTAATATCTATAGCTAAAACATGCCAGGTTTTTGGCAAAGCAGACAATTGAGGAACCCCTGATTGAGCAGGTCCCATAATAACCATCTCATTATTAATGGCTCTTAAATCTTGCAATAATCTCCATTTATCAGATTTCTTTTTAATGACAAAAATGGGAGTATTATAGGGAGATATGGAAGGTTGTATATGTCCCTCTGCTAATTGTTGTTTGACCAGGTCATTGGCTACTTGTATATTTTCTTTAGTCAGGGGTTACTGAGGAACCCATACTGGTCTTTCTGATTTCCAAGTAATTTTTATTGTATCAGTGACCCTTTCTGAAAACCCCATCCATGTCTATCTATTCCTTGATCTATTTGAATTGGTGCTGCTATACCTTGTTCTTGTTCTCCTAATCTTTTTTCTTTCCTAAAACCTTGTCTAGCCCTAATAGTGGGCACATTTGGATTGATGTTATTTGTTAATGTCAAACCTAATTGATCTAGGATATCTCGTCCCCATAAATTTATAGGAAGATGATCCAATACATATGGCTGTATAGTTCCTTCACATCCTTCAGGATCCTTCCAATCTAATACCATTGCACTTCTATGGGGATTAGTCACCACTCCTAGGCCTCGAAGCGTTTGAGTGGCTTGTTGTAATGGCCAATGTTTCAGCCATTCTTGATGAGATATGATGCTAAGGTCTGCACCTGTATCCACTAGCCCATTAAATTCATATCCTTGAATGTTTAGTTTTAGCATTGGGTGAGAATCTAAATTTAAAGACAGCATAGCCCAATCTACACCTTTGGAGCCTAATCCCTTGGAACCTCTTTCTATAGTACTACTGGAAAATTTATCATGCAGGCTGGGTATTATTAATAACTGTGCTATTCTATCTCCTGGTGAAATTACTGATATACCCCTTGGAGAACTGGCTATAATTTTTATTTCACCTTCATAATCGGGATCAATTACCCCAGGACTTATCATAAGTCCTTTTAGAGTAGAAGAACTGCATCCCAATAATATGCCTACTGTTCCTTGGGGAAGAGGCCCTTTTACCGGCTGTGGGAATGATTTGAACTCCCATCTCTGGAGTTAGTACTGCTCTGGTGGAGGCACAGATGTCCAATCCTGCACTTCCTCTGGTTTGTCTGATGAGAGATCTAATGGACAATGTGTCCTGGGCACTACCCTGATGATGTCACTGGGTTCCTCCATGGTGTTGCTGGGTTCCTCCAGTGCCCCGTATATTTGTGGTTGTGGGCCCCGGAGCATTGAGCCCCCCTGTCCATTTTTTGGCAATGGAGCCCGATGCTTTTCTCCACGATATCATGGGTAAACACCTGGTCCTTGTCCGTTTTTTGATAATGGAGTACCCTCTATGGTGGTTTGAGAACGGCATTCATTAGCCCAATGTCTCCCTTTACGGCATCGTGGGCAAATACCCGGTATTGTACTCCTTTGATACCTAGCTTTGTTAAACCCTCCTCCTATGGGGCAACTCCTTTTAAAATGTCCTCTTTGTTCACAATTGTAGCATGTTTTTGGCCTGGCATCTAAAGCCTGTTGTACTACAGCTGCCAAGACTTGCCCTTGTTCATTAATGTCTCTACATAATTTAATATATGTGTTTAAATCTCCATGTTTCCATGGTCTAATGGCCTTCTTGCACCATCTGTTTGCTTGCTCAAAGGCTAGCTGTTTAATTAATGGCATTGCTTGTTCTGTGTCCCCAAAAACTCTGGTAGCTGTTTGAATAAGCCTATCTACAAATTCAGCATAAGGTTCATTAGCTCCTTGTATTATCTTAGATAATTGACCTTGTAAATCTCCGTGTCCTTGTAAAGTCTTCCATGCCCTAACTGCATCTGCAGCAATTTGTGAATATATAGCAGGATCATATTCAATTTGTTGCCGTTGACCCTCATAAGGTACTTTTCCTAACAACATATCTAAATTTCTTTGAGGGTAACCGGCTGCTGCATTTCGCCTAGCCGTCTCCATGCAAAATTCCTCATTGGCAACCTTCCATAACAAATATTGTCCTCCATTTAGCACAGATTTACACATGCTAGCCCAGTCTGCTGGCGTCATGTCCAACTTGGTAATGGATTCGACCATGCTTACAGTGAAGGGTGCTTGGGGACTATAGGTTGTTACAGCCTCCTTTAACTGCTTCACTGTTTTGAAATCTAAAGCATGGTGAATTCGCTGCCCTCCTGCCTGCTCAAGTACAGGGCATGCTAATCTTTGAGGTCCTGTCTCAGGATCCCATCTATCAACTACAGGGGTTGAGGGCCACTCAGCTGTCTCCATAGGTGGAGCTGTTGGTTGAATTACACCCTCTGGTGATAGAACGGTGTTAGTAGCAGCCTCCTGTTGTAGCTTTTTCCCTAATAGCCCCTTTTCCTTTAAATTTTCTTCCTCTGACTAGCTCGAGAGACCTTCTCTTTTACTTGATCTAAAATGTCTTTCTCCATGGTCTGGACCTCTAACAATTTACTTAACACTCTTTCAGTTTGTTTTTTACTAATTTCTAATCTACTATAAAGATAACGCAACCCAACAAGATAATACAAAACAAAACCGAAACAGAATGGAACAAAAAATCGTTGTATCAGTTTTCCTATTTTCTTGAAATGTATTTTCGTGGTCTATCTCTATCTCTTCCTCAGGGCCGAACAACTTCAAACCTTGAGCCAACCATTTTTCCCAGTTTGCCTGAGAATGTTCTAGGGATAGGCAGCTTGAAACAAAAACAAAACAAATCAAAACAAGAACACATTGTTTTTTGAAATGATCACCCATTCTCTCGCCTTCCCTCAGGGACGAGCAATTTACCTTACCTCCGAGCTTCAGGTGTTCCCCGCACGGGCCACCAATTGTCGCAGTCTGGCTGGGTACAAATCACTAGCCACTCAAGAGGAACAAACTTTATTTCTGAACTCCACCAGCACACTCCACACACGCTCCCCAGGAACTCTCCCGAACGCCACCCATGCGGCTCCTCCAGGAACCATCAACCGGAAATCCCTCCTTCGGCACTTCCCCAACCAATGCAAACTCTCCAGGAATCCCCGCGAGAACTCCAAAGTAGCGCCAGAACTCCAAAGTAGCGGGCCGAGGCGGACAGTAAAGGTCTAATATATAATTGAATCAATTCAGCATCATCTTAATGGCTCGCCTCTCAACCAATACTATTGGCAAAATGCCAGGGGCCATTCCGACTCGGCTGTGGCCCTCAACACTCACCTAGCATGCATGAGGCACTGGGTTCAATCCTCAGCACCACATGAATATAAAATGAAGATATTGTGTCCACCTGAAACTAAAAAATAAATATTTAAATTTAAAAAAGGGCTGGAGGGGCTGGGGTTGTGGCTCAGCAGTAGAGCGCTCACCTAGCATGTGTGAGGTCCTGGGTTTGCTCCTCAGCACCATATAAAAATAAATAAATACAATGAAGGTATTGTGTCAAACTACAACTAAAAAAAAGAAAGAAATTATATATATAATTTCTTTTCTTTATATATATGGATGAGGATATAGCTCAGTGGTTAATTACCCTGGGCTAAATTCCCAGTAGTAATAAACAAACAAATGAACAAATAAAAATAAAATACCCAGTCTCAGGTATTTTTGAATAGCAGCACAATTGGACAAAAATAGTATCCTTTGCAAAGGGGAATAGATGAAGGAAGGGAAAAAGAAGCAACCCTGATCCTAGTTGTCAGGAAATATTATGCAGATATGATCTGTTGAGAATGAGCAAGTTTTTCTTTTTTTATTTGTTCTAATTAGTTATTATGACAACAGAATGCATTTTGACATATCATACATAAATGGAGTATAACTTCTCATTCTTCTGGTTGTACCTGATGTAGAATCCCACTGTTCATATAACCAAACGTACATAGCATAATAATGTCCACTTCTTCCTACTATCCTTCTTACCCCTATACCCCCTCCCCTCCCTTCACTCCCCTCTGCCTAATCCAAAGTACCTCTATTTTTCCATGCCCCACCCCCTTATTTTGAATTAGCATCCACCTATCAGAGAAAACATTTGGTCTTTGGTTTTTTTGGAATTGACTTATTTTGCTGAGCATGATATTCTCCAGCTCCATCCATTTACCTGCAAATGCCATAATTTCATTCTTATTTAGGGCTGAGTAATATTCATTGTGTATATATACCACATTTTCTTTATCCATTCATCTGTTGTAGGGCATCTAGGTTGCTTCCATAGTTTGGCTATTGTAAGTTGAACTGCTGTAAACATTGATGTGGTAGTGTCACTGTCATATGCAGATTTTAAGTCCTTTGGGTATAAATTGAGGAGTGGGATAGCTGGATCAAATGGTGTTTCCATTCCGAGTTTTCTGAGGAATCACCATACTGCTTTCAATAATGGTTGCACCAATTTGCAGTCCCACGAGTAATGTATGAGTGTACCTTTTCCCCCTAAAATAGCCTAAAACAAAAACAAAAAAACAAAAACAATAACAACAAAAAACCTAACACTTATTGTTGCTTGTATTTTTGATAATTGCCATTCTGACTGGAGTGAGATGAAATCTTAAGAGTAGTTTTGATTTGCATTTCTCTAATTGCTAGAGATGTTGAATGTTTTTTTCATATATTTGTTGATCATTCATATTTCTTCTTCTGTGAAGTGTCTGTTCAGTTCCTTAGCCTATTTATATACTGGGTTATTTGTTGTTGTTGTTTTGTGTGTGTGTTGGGTTTTTTGAGTTCTTTATATATTGTAGAGATTAGTGCTCTAGCTGAGGTGCATATGGTAAAGATTTTTCTCCCATTCTTTAGGCTCTCTCTTCATGTTATTGTTTCCTTTGCTGGGAAGAAGCTTTTTAGTTTGAATCCTCAATTTATTGATTCTTCATTTTACTTCTTGTGCTTTAGTAGTCTTGTTAAGGAAATCAGTTCCTAAGCCAACATGGTAAAGATTTGGACTTACTTTTTACTCTATTAGGTGCATGGTCTCTGTTCTAGTGCCTAAGTCTCTGATCCACTTTGAGTTGTTTTGTGCACAGTGAGATATAGAGGTTTAATTTCATTTTGTTACATATGGATTTCTAGTTTTCCCAGCACCATTTGTTGAAAAGGCTATCTTTTCTCCAGTGTGTGTTTTTGGCACCTTTGTCTAATATGAGATAATTGTATTTATGGATTTGTCTGCGTGTCTTCTTTTCTGTACTATCAGTCTATGTGTCTGTTTTGGTACCAATACCATGCTGTTTTTGTTACTATGGCTCTGTAGTATAGTTTAAGTTCTGGTATTGTGATGCCTCCTGCTTCACTTTTCTTGCTAAGGATTGCTTTGGCTAGTCTGGGTCTCTAATTTTTTCAAATGAATTTCATGATTGCTTTCTCTATTTCTATGAAGAATAGCATTTGAATTTTAATAGGAATTGCATTAAATCAGTATAATACCTTTGGTAATATGGCCATTTGGACAATATTAATTCTACCTATCCAAGAGCATGGGAAATTTTTGCATCTT